TGCGCACCAAGGGTTATATATCACCAAGGGTCACCGGAGCCGCCGTCGTCGTTCGCACCGCCGTGAACCCTCCGGTAAGGCCACCTGCACCAAGTGGTGCTCTCTGAAGCGCCCCAGGTCTTGCCGCTCCATTTCCGGAGAAACGCCGCCGGCCGTAGTGATGCTCGTGGCTCGTCGTTGGCTCCTCCAGCCGCCACACCGCCGTTCGTCATCAGCGGCCAACCACTGGCCACTCATCCGTCTGGTCCGATGTCGTGGGAACCCCCACCGGCTGAGAGCTCTCTGATTTCCGCCATTAATGGTAGTTTGGAGCTCCAGTTTCTGGTTGAAAGGGGGACAACCGGGAGGTAACCGGTTGGATGGGGGGATTGAAGTAATTAATTTGGTTGGTGTATTGGATCGGAGCTTTTTTGGGTTGGGGGTGCCAATTGAGCAATTCGTATACGTTCAGGGGCCTATTTGACCCTTTAGCCTCATGAATTTAGTGTATATGCACGTCAGTTGACTATATAATGCAAATGCCATACCGATAAGATGCAGTAACTTCAAAAGTGAAAATGGGAGATCATCTGACTAAAGTGAATATACGACTTCTAATATGCACAAGTCATAATGATAATAAAACGCAACATACAACCTCCTAAAATGCAGATGGCATAGAGTTAAGATACGGTATGAACTTTTAAAGTGCACATAAATTTCTAATGTAGTGCAATACACAAACTTCTAAAATGCACATGTTATAATGATAAAATGCATGATATGAACTACTATAATGCAAATATTGACATATTTCTGACGACTTTACATTTCTAATATAAGTTATGAAGATATTATAAATATATAATGCATAACTCGTAACAATATTTACAAGAAATCCCAGATTTTAGTGTCTGACTATCCGACACTAAAATCCGACACTAACGCTGTTGCTGGCGGTTTTGCTATCGGAAAATCCGACACTAAAAGGTGAAAATTCTAGAAGTGAATAATATGCACATCCATTAATCTTAGTATGCACATTCTGTAACTTTAATATGCATACACTTTTACATGTGTTCACTTCTTACAAGTTTAATATGCATGTTAGAAGTTCTAATATAAAGTGATGGATAGTCTACCTGGGGGTATATATCCGAAGGGTTATTACGGGGAATAACTTAGAGAGAAGTCAGAGCAAGTAAGTAAAAGTAGAGAGAGAAAATGTATTATAAATGCGGAGTGTTTTCAGCGTGTTATGACTTGGTTACAAATGCGGAAAAGGGGTGCTATTTATAGTAGCAATAAATGCCGGGCAGGGACACGTGTCAAGCGCTCATTGGCCGAGGGGTCACCTCAACTGGTTGGCGCTGGCAGCCGCATGTGGCCGCATTTAATGCGGCTGTTGGATGGGACGTCTGTGCGGGGTACGTTGATCTGTACGCATGTGAGGCGGATATCTTGTCGAGTGAGATGCCTTCGGCTATAGAGCAGTAGCCGAGGGCTCTTCCACCCGATGGCACCCTGGTGCCGAGGGCTCACAGTGCCGAGGGCTACTGTTTTCGCCGTTTTCTCCCAGTTTCTTAGTTTGCTTGAGAAACCCGCTCTGTGAGAATTTGGAGCCTTCGGCCAGGGGGCCGAAGGCATCCCTGTGCGTTGTGCGGACTGCTTGGTACTCTGGGCGCTGTGATTTGGGCCTGTTGGGCCTTTTGGGCCTGTTGGGCCTTTGCTGGAGTAGTAGGAGTCTGTGGGCCGGGGGTTCCCGGGCCATATACTCCATCAAGAGTCCCTCACTCCTTTTGCCGAAAGGTACTTGAGGGAAAAGGAGTATTTGTGCTTGCCCTTTGATGTTGTCCCGTTGTGATCTCTGAAGTTGGTGAGGAGTTGTTGCTTTTATGTCCCTGCCGAAGGCAGTCCCTCAGTTACCCACATGTCGGGACTTGAGGGCTTGCTTTGTTGTTTGTTGGAATTTCACAGATTTTGTAATTTAATGATTTTCCCGAAGGGGTCCTCCAGTCCCCCACTCCTTGAGGCACTTGTAAAGTGGTGAAAAGGAGTAGAGTAGTTACGTTGCTGTTGTGGGCCGAAGGCTGACGCTTTTTGTTTCATTTTGGGGGGATGCCTCGTTAAAAACCTCATTAGGAAAAACCCTTTGGGAAAAAATCCTAATGAGGGAAAAAGAGTGCACCGAATTCCCCCAATGATGAATCGAAAATGTCAAACCTTGGTACAAAGTGGAGAATGACGGGAATGCCGAAGGCTCTCTCCTCTGAGGGCTCCTGTGTTGATTAGCCGGAGGCTTGCTGTTGATGTCCTGGTGGCGCCGAAGGGGAGCCCCTCAATCCAGGGATCGAGGGCCTGCCAGATGAGGGCAGCAGTGAAGCTGTTACCGGGGGGTCCACTGTTTGTTGATGAGTTGGTGATGAAGATACCCGAGGGCCATGGGCCATCCGTCAATGAGGCACTCCCCGGGGGCTACCCGGTTTTGCAGTGCTGAGGGGAAAACCCCAAGGGGTGCCCTGATATGCAGCCCTAGGGATCTGAAGGAGTGATCCCGAAGGCGTGTGTAATGTGCTGTGTGGGGCACAACCCGGGGGCACTTCTGGGTGAGTGCACCCGGAGGCTATCCTTGATGAAGTGGAGTGAAGTAGAAAACCCGGGGGCTTCCAAAATATAGCCGTTTGAAATATAGCCGTTGGAATATGTAACGACGGGATATAGCCGTTGGGGGGGGCACACGTGGCGTGTGATGGCTGGCTGTCCGTGGGCGGCGTCACCGGTTGGGCGAAGACGCGGTGAGTAATGATGGCGTCCATCCGGAGGCCCGGAACCCAGGCCCAAGCCCGGATTCGAGCGCCTATAAATACCCCAAGGCCAGAGCCATTTCCTCTTGCGCGATCAGTTGTTTTAGCGAAGCTCTGCCAAAAAATCTAGTGAGAGAAACTCCAGCCTTCGGTCCTAACTCAGCTTTCGAGGTCAGTGCTCCCTGCCTTTCTCCTTCTAGCATAGTTGTATTGTGCCCTTAGGTTAGGAGATAGAAAATTTAGAAACGCTAGCGTGCAAGAGCCTTCGAACTAGAGTCAGCATGTCGTCCCAGAGCGATTCTCAAGATATCTCGGGGGCGCCCTCGGTGGAGGATGAAGTCCTCTCGGACGTGGAGTCCTCAAGTGCAGAGTCCTCGGTGGGACAGGATGCCGTCGTTGCCCTGGAGTTGCAGAAAGCCCTCGTAGCTGAGGCGGAGGCCGAGGGCTTTGAACAAGAATGTGAGGACGAAGAGATGGCCATCGCCTGGCAAGCAGCTGAAGAGGAGGCACAAAGAGAAGGCGAGAGGGTCACCGTTGCTGTGCTCCCCCCTCGGGGTGCCGGGGAGGCCAGCACCTCTCGGCCGCTGAATGCGGTCCCCCTCCGGGTGGCCCCCGGAAAGAAGAAGGCCAAGGCCGCTGTTCCCAAGAAGAAGGGCAGCGTAGCGGATCAAGGGAAGCCCCTCGATATGCCCGAGGGGTACTCCTATCTCAACACCGCCGCATTGGAGATCAAGTCGAAGGTTGATGCGGCGGACATCTATGTCACCCAGCTTCACGTGGGCCCCTCGGCCATCGTGGTGACACCGGGTCCGGATGACGTTCTCTCCCGGGCTCCCGAGGGCTGCATTGCGGTGCACGTCCTTTCAGTATCCATGGGACTTAGGTTCCCTCTGCACACATTCCTCCGGGAATATTTGAGGTTTGTTGGCTTGGTCCCCTGCCAGCTGACCCCGAACAGCCATTCTTATATCACCGGCTTCCTTCAGCTTTGTAAGTCCCGGGGGGTGACGCCTAGCCTGGACCTCTTCTTCCAGAGCTTCAACCTATGCCGGGGGGGGGGGGGGGGGGGCACGCGTCAAGCGCTCATTGGCCGAGGGGTCACCTCAACTGGTTGGCGCTGGCAGCCGCATGTGGCCGCATTTAATGCGGCTGTTGGATGGGACGTCTGTGCGGGGTACGTTGATCTGTACGCATGTGAGGCGGATATCTTGTCGAGTGAGATGCCTTCGGCTATAGAGCAGTAGCCGAGGGCTCTTCCACCCGATGGCACCCTGATGCCGAGGGCTCACAGTGCCGAGGGCTACTGTTTTCGCCGTTTTCTCCCAGTTTCTTAGTTTGCTTGAGAAACCCGCTCTGTGAGAATTTGGAGCCTTCGGCCAGGGGGCCGAAGGCATCCCTGTGCGTTGTGCGGACTGCTTGGTACTCTGGGCGCTGTGATTTGGGCCTGTTGGGCCTTTTGGGCCTGTTGGGCCTTTGCTGGAGTAGTAGGAGTCTGTGGGCCGGGGGTTCCCGGGCCATATACTCCATCATAAAGTGTGCACATGTTATCAATATATAATGCAATTTCCATAATCTTAATATTTTAAGTTTAAAAAACAAAAGGTTAATTAAGAATTGAATTATTCCCCATATATAAATGTCTATTTACTTTTTGTGAAATTTTGAACAATTTCCAAAATTTACAAGAGAATAATTCCCTAAATAAAGAAGGGATGTGAGATAAACGAGTAATGCTACACGTACAACGGGTCTTCCCGAATTACTTACAAAGACCCATTTTAAGCTCATATTGAATTACGAGTTTACCCCTTCTTTTTAAAAACCTGAAAGGATGACTAATACGAAGTACTTCGTATCCAGTGTAACCTGCCTCTTCTTTAACTTTGCCGACAGCAACACTCCGTTGCCTAATAAAATACACATGAGATGGCCTGCGAGAAACATCAAGGTCTGCAAGTTAGTTTCGAAAAAATTTCTTTTCGATTAAATTTTAGCTTCCGATTTGATTTATTGTTTAATCCTTAACCCATTAAATTACAATGTAAATATTTTGTATTATTGTTGCACTGTCCAACTTTATTATGCATATTAATTCTTCTTATATCAGCGGCATCAAGAAGACAATGGAGGACACATATTCACATGGTCAACTTAAATCATTTTTAATCTTTTACTTCATAAATCAAATTTTTATGAAATCTACATTTGCGCCAAAATGGGAAATAATCAAACATTCAATATCAATACATTTAATTGAAAAGGGAAATCCAGCAAAAATATTTGCGCCACTAATACGAAAACGCACAATATTGAGCTTGAAACAATTCATAAAGCAAAGGAAAAGTAATTACAAGCCAACACAAAATAATATTCTCTCCATAGGAGGATGAAGAAACAACATTCCAGCCTCACACTTCAAAAACAAACTGCAATATACTACTGCAACAAACTGGACAGTGGCACTCCCTTTGCATCAGAGCCTTGATCTTTAGCTGGACAACTTTTCATCTTCTCCACTCTCCCCTCCTATCAAATTAATAAAATACTCCATAAGTATTGTTTTGGATAGTTTTAGAAACTTAACATTAATTCAGCTTTTACAGTGTTACCTTTTTTTTGAACTAGATTCTAAGGAACTCTTTTTTCGCAGCTTCTTTGGGGCACCCTTACGTCTTATGCATTTTGGATCCTTGATGAAGACACCAAGAACGTTATTAACGTTTTCACACCTTGCATTTCTTTGGTTACTATCGCAGATTGAGTATCGCAGATTGAGTATGGTATCAAACTCTTGTGATAAGAATCAAGCCACTCAAATGTGGCCCTTTCTAGTGATCACCAGCCACAATGTGGGCTATTTCTGAAAACTTATGGCACAATTTTTCATATTGCAGATATCCTGGAACATATACCCATCCATTATAGTTAATCTTCAATCGTGTATAGGGTCTGAATACATCTTTTCTCCACCTCTTTAAAATATACTTATCTGGAATTGATGTTACCCTCCCGTATTAAAACAGTAATGGCATGTCTACACAGTATCCCTCTAAACTCAAATAGATGGCAATTGCAGACAATATCATTACTTTCTTTCTTAAGAACTACCTTAAACACTTTCCTGTGCATTGTATCCCCTAACATAAGGTACTCACGCACCTCATATAACATTCTCGTAGTCGTCATCTCAGTGAAATCAACTTCACAATAAATATGTAGTGTCAAACGTCACTACATCACCAAATTCTTTATACGCTTCTCTACATCTGTTATCGGCCCAAAAGACATTCTTCAACCTAAAATCTTCATCCAGGTCCACAATGAAAAAGAAACCAGGACAACTTGTTTGCATCTTTGCAAATTATGCCAGTATAGCTGCCGCATCTCCTTCTCCGAGTCTTAATCGTCTAACTTTCTCTACATAGTTACGACAATCCTTTTCAGTAAAAGTCATGTTCGAGTAGTCGCCAACTTCAACTACTGTAGAATTAAAATTTTTATGTAACGGAATCCCTGCAATGTCATTGACCTCAAGTTTTCTTTTCACGTGTTGATTTAAATACCGGTTACATCGATACAACCTAGATTTTGATGGACTTGTAGTATGGTTGTGTTCATGATGCACCTTAGTGATTTGCCATGTCCCTAAAAGATCTTCTTTCGCAATCAGCCTTGCCTTACAATCAGTTTGAATTGTAGGTTGTGGATTTAGCGAGCATGTTGTGGCATAACATCGACCACCTTCCCGACTACACGCATAGGTAACATATTTCACTGATCCATTATCACCTTTCCTTGAAGTTCTTTTCCTGATAGGAAACCCCACTGCAGCAGCATAACTCCTATAAAATTTCCACACATCCTTAGCACTCTTAAAATCCATTCCTACTTTTGGAACATTGTCCTTCTCAACCATGGTGTCTTCAGCTTCTTCACTCACAGTAACTGTCGTGAAGAGTTCACCTGAAAAGTTCACTCTTAGAAAGTCCATTGTTCTTTTATTTCTTGAAAAGTATGTTACTTCCTACAAGGAAGATGGTGGATTTAATATTACCTGTAATGGACATATCTCCGACGGGGAATGGTTCCGACTGGCTCTTCCGACTTCCGATGAGCTAAACCGCTACTCAATGAGATACCATTGGGGCATGAAATTTATCTGTTCAATTGACGAACCCTAAGCTATCTTATTTTTCTTAAATTTATTTGGTTTAAATGTATGTTAAAATATACCCACATCAGCAACCGGGTTCCTTTTGCAAGTATTGCGGGAACTTAGTATGTACGTATAACATTACTCGAGATAAACACATCGAACTTTCATATGTAATTTAAATACCTCAAACTTTATATAAAAAGTTATTTTAATACCGTGGTTATGTATTATTTCTTTCAAAAATGTAATTTATGGTGTTAAATGCATAATTTAAAATAGAAAATTGAAAACATTAGAATTCTATATAGTGGTGGGTAATACTATTTAGGGAGAACTATCAAATAAGCCCTCGAACTTTCATAAAAAGTGCAAATAAGCCCTTTTACAGGAGGCTTTGTCCGGCTTTCACCATTTGGGGCGGTTTGTAGTGGAATTTTTTGATGAATGTTTTTTAGAATCTTTTTCATTAAGTCTAGTTTACCCATACCAAATTTCAGGTAAAACTTCAATTGAGAAGGTAGTCAAATGATTTTCTGAAATATATTGTGCTGCCTAAATGCGCAGTTATCTTCAAAAATTCATTTGACTGCCTTCCCGATTGAAGTGGTAGCTGAAATTTGGTATTAGTAAACTAGACTTAATGAGGAAGATTCTAAACAATTTTCATCAAAAAATTCCACCGGAAACAAACCCTAATGGCGACAGCCGAACAAAGCCTCTTGTAAGAGAGCTTATTTGCACTTTTATGAAAGTTCTAAGGGCTTATTTGGTAGTTCTCGCTACTATTTATTTTTACAATGGAAGTTTAGAATGTTAATTGTATCTTTATGAATGCTAAAAATTATCAAATTATGAAATAAACACCAAAAAATAATATTTTTGAAAGAAATAATATATGAGCATTGTGCTAAAATAACTTTTTATATAAAGTTTGGGGTATTTAAATTACATATGCAAGTTTGGGGTGCTAATCTCACACCCCATCAAAGTTTGGGGTATTTTAATTATTTTTCCCAATAAATAAGAATTGGATTTGTTATTGCAACTTTCATTGATGGCTAAATATTCCAACGTTATTCCTTGCATCTTTCCTTTTTTATTTGCTAAACATGGGTGGTTGGAATTTTAGTGGTGGGTTAGCTAAATTGTAGGGATTGCCTGCCGTATGATGCTCATTTTTTTAATCATGAGATCTTGTTATTAAATTATTTCCATAAATAATTCAACTTGCCGGCCACTTCTACTTTTCAATTACCATTGTGACCTTTTAATGCCTAAAACTTAAAAACGGTGTTATGCATATTTATCACCTGCGTGTGTATATATATATGGGAGGGGAGATCCCATACAAACCATGCTTCCGGTGCAAACTACAAACCAATACCATCCCTTGGATTTGAAAAAACGGACGGCTGATGCATATAGGATGCATTATTACAACGGTGCAAACACACGCAGGTGATAAATATGCATAACACCGTTTTAAAGTTTTATGTATAGGTTTTGGTTCAAATAAGAACATGATCTTATGAGAAAAATGAGAATGAATCTGGATCGTTAGATTTGCTTTATGTGAAATTAAATGTGCATTAGATGAAGGTGTAATGTGTATTAGGTGAAATTGAAATATGCAGCACAAATGATACAATGTAGTGGCATTATGTGAAGCTAAGTTGTGCATTAGGTGAATTTGAAATGTGCACTAGATGAATCTAAAATGTGCAGAATAAAAGGTACGATGTGATGTTATTTTTGTACCTTTTTATTCTGCACATTTCAGCTTCATCTAATGCACATGTGAGTTTAAATTTTAATTCTGCACATTTCAATATCATCTAATGCACATTTCAGTTTCACCAAATGCACAATTCAGTTCCACATAATCCAATCCAACGGTCCAGATTCATTCTCATTTCTCTCTTAAGATCCGTTCTTACCGGAACCGCTCCCTATATATATAAGGGACATCCCAAAAAGGAAAGTGGGAACTTTAATAAGAACCGGAGGGAGTATATATATATATATATATATATATATATATACTCCCTCCGGTTCTTATTAAAGTTCCCACTTTCCTTTTTGGGATGTCCCTTATTTAAGTTAACACTTCCATTTTAGGAAACAAAACAATGCAAAACAGTGCCAAACAATGTCAAACAGTGTCCAAAAAGTGCCAAACAGTGCCAAACAGTGCACTCCACAGTAAAGTCAAATTCATTTTCTTAATATGTGTGAAGTCAAACTAAGAACTTAAATAAGAACCGGAGGAAGTATATATAGGGGATGGTTCCTGTGAGATAGAGCTTCCAGGAGAGAAAAAAGAATAAATTTGGACCCTTCATTCTTCTAATCATATGGCTCTTGTGACAGATTTATAAGAAAAAAAATGAATGTGATGATGCACGTGTTGGCTTCGTAATTGAATAGAGTTCATTAAAACATCAACTAAAGGACATTTGGGTAAAACAAAAAAAAAACGATTGGGATGCACTAGTAAATTTATGGGAAGAATCTTAAAATTAGGATACTAATTAATACGGTTCCACTCCATCATAATTATGATATCATAAATATCTACTTCAATTTAAATTTCTTTCCAAACCTAGATACATCTCTCATACAATTATGATAACAAATTTGATTTTAAAAATTCTTTATTCGAATGGTACATTATTTTTTTATGCTTCATCTTTTTTCAGATGTAATATTTCCTGAGTGAAATTAATCTAGGTTTGTCCATTTGCACTATAAGGTTGAATATCTGCACTTTTATGCGAAACATTATGCAACATCAATTTAATTAAATACATTAAATCTAAACATTATGCAATATTTCCAGAGTATTTTAATATTTTAACAGTATTAGTAGTTTGAATAACCAGCTACATTCATGAATGTAATAAATCTAAACAGAAATAACGTTCTAATTAAGATAATTTGTACGAATGAAAAGTGCAATTTTATATTGCATTGCCTTGCACTTTCTTTAAGATGAACCTACACTTTACTCATGTAGTTATGCACAAGTTTTAAATAAAAATAAATTTACATAAAATGGACATAAATATACAATGGTGTAAACTAACAGCTATAATGTGCTTTTCACATGTATAGGAACGTACACCATTATACTTCATATAACACTTTCTAAACTTTTATATACATTCTTTTACAAAATGAAATGCACTTCTATCATGTGCATTTGAAATACACAAAAGTGCACTATTATATTATACTTTTTACAATTTTTCATTGACATTTTTTTCTTCCAAATGGATAATAATTGCTCCATTGACACTGCATCGTACAGAGTATATGCAAAAAAAATAAAAGCTAGTGAAAGTGATGACTAAAGCATGATAAGTGCACCAAAACCTTAATAAAACACTATAATTTTTATTATCTGAAACTTAAATAGATAACTAATTAACTATCATGAAATGTTCCATACCAAACACATAAAATCCATCACATGACCATTTAGGTGCACCAATTGTTAGAGCAAATTAAATGTTTCATGTTCATAAAAAATGTTCGTTCAACAAAAAACAAAAACGAAAATTAGTTTACTGCAAATTGACAAATGTAAAAAGTCCTTTTTTCTGAATTGTACCGATATACAAGTATTACACCAACTGTAATCACAAAAACAAAGATGACATACATTACGTAAATGAAATTGCAAAATAAAAAATAAAAGAAAAAAGCATGACCATCGCCAAGGAGAGAAGCAATGCGCAGGGGAAATACGTTAGGAAAGAATGGTGGAAAACAGTTAAGGAAGGAATAATGAAACGAAATTATAGGAATAAATAGAATTAGAAGTGACGTGAATACCCTTAATGACAGTCAATGTCACGATCGAATTAGAAGTGAATCCAATGATTCATATCTATTCTTTTTTTCTCTCCTAAGATTAAATTCTCACATGAACCTAAATCATACACACAAATATATATATATATATACACACACACACACACAAATATTCACCTCCCTCGAGTTCGGAGGAAGGCCCTGTCCGGCAACCTCAATTTGAGGTGGTTCCGGGGAGGTATTTTTGGCTTAAATTGTTTGTGTATGTTCCTCATCAAGTCTAGTTCATCCATACAAAATTTAAGCAAATAATTCAATCGGTAAGGTCATCAAATGAGTTTTGCATGAAAACTGCGTTTTATATGTATATTCTGGACCAGTTATCATGCAAAAATCATTTGACGACCTTCCCGGTTGAATTGTTTGCTCAAATTTGGTATGGATTAACTAGACTTGATGAGGAACATACACAAACAATTTTAACCAAAAATACCCCCCGGAACCACCTCAAATCGAGGTGGCCGGAGGAGCCTCCTGTCCGGTCTGCGAACAGGAAGATAACTCTATAGGAAGTATATATTAAGTTATATATAGAGTTGAAATTGTCTAGATGAAGAGTTGAACTTGACTGGATCTAATATTAAGTTTACAATAAGCTGATGCCAATTGCCAACTTTATATCTCGTTATTCAAATTTTATCTTGTTTTTACTACAACAACTTATTTTTGTGATATTTTTACATTTTCCGGTAGGAGTAAGGACAGTCCGTGATACAACCAAAACTTATCAGTGACCATGTATTTTGAAACGGTGTGATTTCTTTACATGATAGATCCTAGAAGTATTCACACTAGTACAAAAAAGGCTTTTCACATCAGTCAAAAAAGGCTTTTCACATCATTCAAACAACCGATGTGGTTCCAGCCCATGTGAAAAGTAGAGACTTTTCACATCGGTTCTATAACCGATGTGAAAAGTCTTTCTACATCGGTCGTGCAGTACCCGATTTTGAAAAGTATTAACATAGCCGCTCCATAGCACATATAACATCGGCTTAGACCGATGTGAAATAATCTACATCAGATTTTTAATAATGGATATGGAAAGTGCTTGAATTTTGTCGCTGCATATCATATATTACATGGGGTGTGACCGATGTGGAAGAGATTCCACATCAGTTTTACAAATAACCG